GATCAGAACTTTCCAGAGTCATTTCCCCGCTTCTCCAGTGTTGATTTCTTTTGTGATTTTGTCAAGATTTTGACCTCCTTTGCTGTAACAGAAATATTATTTTGATTAGGGTAAGCATATTCACCGAGTCTCTTATACATTTCGAATTTCAAGCCTTCTGTGTTCAGCTTTAACTGCTAGCACCAGACCCTCACCTTGTCTCAGTGAAGCAGATTGAATGGTGGCAGTTTTGGCTGTAATTGAATTTATCCAAGTATTTTCCCCGAGTTTTACTCTTTTATTGTCTTGTATAATCTTTTGTGGACAGAGAGCTTTGTCCTCATCCACAGATTTTTTTTGTTTGGTTCCCTTCTCTGAGGTGCTTTGTATGTTTGGTTCACTAACAGCCTGCTGTTCCTTTTCAGCTCTACCAACACAAGTTCGAATTTGCAAATCATATTTTTTTCTCCTGACTTCTTCATGGAATTCCACTTCTTGCCTTTTGCATTCTCCATATTCAGAAAAGAAGTCAAAGTTCATAAAAAGAAAATCTTCATACCTATTATCTTTTTAAGGTCCATAGAATCAAGAGGCCCCCCCCTTTTTATTCCGATATTGCTTGTTCGTGCCTTCTCTATTTTCTCTTGAACCATGTCATCAGAGGTGTATTAATTTTATTCATTTCAAAAAGCAACTTTTGGATCTTTTGATTCTCTCTATTGTATGTTTATTGCTATTTTATTTCTGCTTTTAACTTGTTTCCTTCCTTCTGCTTTCTTTGGGTTTAATTTGCTGAGATTAATACTGAGACAATTGATTTTTAAACTTTCTTCTTTTCTAATTAATATGTTTTTAAAGGAAAATATTTCACTTGAAACACAACTTTGTCCCACAACATTTGACTTTCTATATTGATATTTTCATTATTATTTAATTAAAAATATTTTCTAATGTTCACTGTAATTTCTTCCTTAACTCATGGATTATTTAGAAGTTTATTCCTTAATTTCAAAATGTGTGGGAATTTTCTACATGTCTTTCTGTTATTACTCTCTAGCTTAATTTCACTGTGGTCAGAGAACATACTCCATATAATTTCAGTGCTTTGCAATTTGTTGAGACTTGCTTAAGGCCTAGCATGTGGTCAGTTTTGCTAAGTGATACATATGTGCTTGGGGGGAAAATGTATATTCTTCAGTTTAACTTCAGTTTTTGTCCCCCACGTCACTGCTTTTGGTTCAGCAAATTCTACAAAGTGAAAAGTGGCACCAAAGTAGGGCTCCCTTCTCTCTAGTTCATAGGTCTCCACGTCAAAAGAGACCCATATCTGGACATACCAAAAAGATGTCTCCACAGCTTCCCTGATGTACAAACTACTGCATGTTACCCAGAAATTCTGTTTTTTGAGCTTGATGCTATGACTGAATGACACTTTTGATTTGTCTCCCTAGGACAAGTGAATTTTACTTGTAGGAAGGAGAGTGAGTCAAATATTTTATGACCAGAAGGGCAGACTCTGGTATTTTATGAGTGCTGTTCACAAAATATTTTGGACTCTCAACCTTCCAGGCACATAAGAGGATTACCATCTCCCCTGTGGTTCAGTAAGTTCATGTGAATAGTATTAGCCAATGAGTCATGATTGGAAGTGACAAATATCATTTACAGGAGAACATGTAATGGAATATATAATTGATAATGTTGAATAGCCCAATACCCAGTTTTCTACTGGTACAGAGTTCAGCACCTCTGAAGGTGGTGGCTGCTCCATTAGCCTAAGAGGCTGAATGATTTTGGCGAGTAGAGCCCTTTCCCTTGCCAACAGCGTAAACATGTAGTGTTAGCAAGAAACAAACCATTGCTCTTTTAATCCACTGAAATTTTGGAGTTGTTAGTTACCACAGCATAAAATGGCCTATTCTGACTAATACACAGTCTTAATGAAATCACAATTCATCCTACTACGTTCTAATCATAGCCAAAGATTGCCCATTCGCCCCACATATTTACAAAAAAATACAAATTATATTATTTTTTGCAGAGACAAGATGGTCTTAATAAATTAAAAGAACAAATCAAAACCACATGAAACACCACTTCATACCCTATGTAGATCAGGGCTCCCCAAACCCCTGGGCTGTGGACAGGTACAGGTCTGTGGCCTGTTAGGAACCAGGCTGCATAGCAGAAGGTGAGTGGCGGGTGAGAGGAGGGAGCAAAGCTTCATCTGTTTGCAGCCTCGCTGCCTCAGCTGCACCTCAGATCATCAAGCATTACACAGACTTTCATAGGAGCACTGGTATCTGGTGTCAAAAAGGTTGGGGACCGCTGCATTAATTAATACAGTTGTGGAATTTTATTTTGCTCATAGTGCAATGCTAGTGTAGGAAAAGTGTGTTGTGCATCTTTTTTGGTGAAGAGAAAGAAAGGAAAGATAAAGAGCTGGTGATAACAAAGAATGGCTCGGGATATGGGTGCATAACAGATATGCAGGTAATATTTAATTTTAACTATTCCAAGAATCTCGTTGAAGGAATGTTAGAGATTAGGTCAAGTTCTTCATGTTTTCCAGTCTCTTCAATATAGCTTTCAGACCATTATTCCTCTATTTAATTTAAAAACTTGTCTTTCCTCTTTATTGCCATCTGCCAAACTCATTCATTGGTTCATTAATTCCTTACATTCCTTACATTCCCAATATACTCCCAAGCTCGGTGTCATCTAGAGTGACTTCAATTTCTATGTGATAACCCATCTAATATCTTAATTTTATATTCCTTTATCTCCTCATTTCTCAGGACACTTTAGCCACTCCTTTCTCAGCCCACACCCTAGTCCTTGCTATCATTAAGAATTTCTCCACTTCTGAAATCTTAAATTCAAGCCACCCTTTTATTGTCATAACACACTTGAGGAATGTAAAACACTCAGGTAATAGCTGTGGTTTAATATAGGTGTGATTCTGAAGCTGAGAGGTGAGGAAGAAAGGAATAAATTCCTAAGGGCATTCATCCGAATCTCAGAGGTTTGTTTAATTTGAAATCTCCATGTGATTTTGATGGATATACTACAGGTAGCATTTCTCCTGCTCTCTCTACCTATTATAAATCAATGAAGGAACTGGAGTCAAGATTTGCTGTGTTCAAATCCTGACTCCATCACTCATTTGTGTGAGTTCAATCTCTCTTGCTTCTGTTTTCTCATCTATAAGATGAGGATAGTATTGCCATATAAAGTAACATATTCATAGGGTTCAGGAATTAGGAAGTAGACATCTTTGAGAGGACATTATTCAGCCTACCATAATTAATTTTTTACCGTTTCATCCAGGACATTCTTAAGTGAAATTAATTCCTCCCCCCTCCAAGTGCATCACAGTGAGGACTACAATGACTGGCTTCTTTCACTTAGCATAATGTTTTCTAGTTTCATCCACATTGTGGGAGTACTTCATTTCTTTTAATGACCTAATGGTATTTCATTGCATGGATATATTGCTTTTGTTTTTCCATTAGTCATTTGATGGATATTTGGGTTGTTTCTACCTTTTTGCTATTATGAATAAGGTGTCTGTAAATATTTGAATACATGTTTTTGTGTGGACTTATGTTGTCAATTCTCTGAGATATATACCTAGGAGTAGAATTGTTAGGTCATGGTTACTTTATGTTTAACATCTTGAGGAACTGCCAAAATGTTTTCCAAAACATTTTATATTTCCACTAAGTAGTGTATGAAGGTTCTAATTTCCCCATATCTTTGCCAACACTTCTTATTATCTGTCTTTTTAATAATAGATAACCTAGTGGGTGTGAAGTGGTGTTTCATTGTGGTTTTAATTTGCATCTCTCTGATGGGTAATGATGTTGAGCATCTTTTCACGTCCATTCTTCCATTTGTATCTCTTCTTTGAAGAAACGTCTACTTAGATTTTTTTTGTCCATTTTTAAATTGAATTGTCTTTATTATTGAATTGCTATGGGTCTTTCTGAATTCTGAATATGAGACCTTTCCAGATATAGTTGCAAATGTTTTCTTCCTTTCTTTAGGTTGTCTCTTCAACACTAAAGACAAGTTTTTAATTTTGATGAAGTCCCATTTATTTTCCTTTGGTTGCTTGTGCTTTTGGTGTCATAGCCAAGAAACCATCCCCTAATCCAAAGTTGAGAAGATTTATGCCAACGTTTTTTCCTAAGATTTTTATACTTTTAGTTCTTACATTGTCCTTTGATTTGTTTAATTTTTCATATGTTCTGAGGTAGTGATCCAAATTAACTATTTTGCATGTGGATATCCAAATTGTCCCAACAACGTATGTCGACTTATTTCACCATTGAACTATCTTGGTATTCTCATTGAAAACTATTGATGTGTGAGGGCTTACTGAGTTATTTCTGAAACTCTATTTTATTTGTCTATATCCTTAATCTCTATGCTTATGCCAATAGGGCCATTGTGTTTTAAAGAAGAAATCATAGGATTATTCTTTAAATCATTCAAAGCAAGGAATTCAAGGGTGGAATTAGCTCCTCCTCCCCATCAGTTTAGAACTTTTAGTAGTGTATTTCTCATCGGTAGCTATCAAGATCGTGTCCGACGGGATCGTTGTTTTGTTTCGTTTCTTTCCTCCAAATCAAGGTCATGTGTTTGCGTGGGGGGAAGGGCTGATTAACGAAAAATGTTAGCTCTAGGGTAAGGAGCACTGGTATTCAATTTATTTCGGGAGGTTGACGAGCAAGACCCAGAGACAATAGGAGTATCTTGCCACAGCCTTCAGAAATGCGCAAGGTGTTGGAGAGGGAGGAGTCCGGGCTGTCGGTACGATCCCAAACACTGAGGCTGGAAACCGGGAACTTTTCCACTGGGGGATGGGCTCGGGAATGAGGCGCAGGAACTGATCTTCGGTGGAACAGACAAGGCTGTTGTTGATTTACTCGCGCGACCACCAGTGAAGCCGATCCCCCTCACCCGCTTTCCCGCCTCTCTTCCCCTCTTTCTCTATCCCTGCTCCCAGCGCGTAGCGGAAGTGACGCAAGGCGTAGCGGAAGTCCCTCCAGCCGCGGTGTTGTGCTGTGGGGAAGAGAGACGGATTTGTAAACCCCGGAGCGAGGTTCTGCGTACCCGAGGCCGCTGCTGTGCGGAGACCCCGGGTGAAGCCACCGATACCATGTCTGACCAGGTAGCGGGCCGGGAGCCGTCCGATGGCTGTGACCGGGGCCTTACTCGGCAGGTCCGCCTGCCGCTGGGCTGGGGCCGGGGATGGAGACGCGGGGGAGGGGAGCAAAGAATGGGGGAGGGGGCGGCCGGTGGGGACTCGGCAGGCGAAGGAGGGGAGTGGACTAGGGCCGGAGACGGCGGGGCCTTCCGCGGGTGTCTGGGAGCTGTCCTGCGCCTCTCCGGGCTCTCTCATCACCCTGTGTGCCCCAGCGCCAATGGTCGCGGCCTCCCTTAAGTCGTCCCCCTTGCAGGAGCCCAGCTTCCACCTCCCTGGGAGGGTGGGTCCCTGGGGGACCCGTCTGCCTCCCTCTGCAGAGGACTGATTGCAGAAGCAGGGCCCTAGGCCCCAGTTATGTAACGGGAGAGAATCTCTGCCCGGGAGGCTTCATGGCCCTGAAAAGCGGGTGGACTCCACTTTTTGATTCTTGGTCTGTGGATAGTCCAGGAGTGGGGACGTGGGGGCGGGGAGGAGGGAGACATTGTCTGGAGTTGCTGGGAACCAAGAAAGCTCTGCTTTCCGTTGGGTTTGCAGCTGGGGCCGGGTCGCCGCTGCTCTTTTCTGAGTCTTTTTCCGTGTGGGGGTGCAGAGCTGTCGTCTCCTTTCTTGTACTTTTCCATTTCTTACTCGGGATTGGTTCAGCAACTCTCCAGTTGTAAGAGAGCACTCAGAATAATCAAGAAACAAAGTAGAACAAAACCTTTCCAGCAACAGAAAACATTTCCTCTGGGCATTAACCTGAAGATGACTGATACTTTTGAGGAAAAGGACAGGAAAACTTTGTGACTATAGAACAGTCGCAGAACATTTGCAGAAGCTGCCTGTATGGCAAAGTGCTTCATCTCAGTGTTAATATCAGTAATTTACTTGGGATTTGCACTCAATCAGGAGTGTTTGATTTTCCGTGGTACGTTTTTCTTCTCATCCTTTTCTAGTTAACCATGTTTATGGCTAGTTTTTAATTAATAAGGTTTTGGTCTTCCGTTTTGTTTGCTCAGACGACTTTGACTTTTTAAAGTATTTTTGGACATTTTGATTGTTTAGTGATAGTTACCTAGAAAACTTTTTCATTCAACTCCATAATATTCTTGAACTTTTATTATATTTAACACACTTATTCCCTTGGCTTTTAACCCAGTTCGGTTTTGTACCACTTTGTGAGAGCAAGTGAGGCTTTTGTGGATTTGTACTATTGTGCAAAATGTACATTTACTAATCTAGATTAACGTGGGGTGGATCTTATTACTAACAGTCTAGATTAATTCCCAAGTTGGTATGGGAATGGCATTATAAGTATCTCCCTAGATAGTTGTTTACTTGGTTACCAGGGAGGAAAGAACAGGTGTAAATACTTAGTTTCATCAGCCTTTTATTTTGATGCTCAAAAGTGACTAGGAAGCATATTGAAATTTACTATAGTCTGGTGAAAGAGCAATATACAGAAAGAATTATAAAGTAAGTTGTATAATTTATTGCTCCAGTTTGAGTTCTGGTCATTTAAGAAAGACATGACGGAAGAAATAAAGGACCTTGAACACTAGCAGGTGGCTTTAGGCCGGAGGTTTTTTAGATTCTTTTCTAGGGGTCCTGGAAGGCCAAAACTGTTTTCATGATAATACTAGAACAGTGTTTTTCTTTTTCACTCTGATTCTTTCATGAGTGTTCAGTGGAGTTTTCTAAAGACTAACATGACCTGTGATGTCACAACAGATTGAAATGTAGAAGCAGATGTGAAAATCCAGCTGCTTTCTATTAAGCCAGACATTAAAGAGATTTGCAAAAATGCAGAACAGTTTCACTCTTCTCCCTGGTTTTATTTTGAAAACTTTTTAATAAAAATGTTATTTGCTAATATATGATGGTTTTATTATTTTTAAATGAATTAATAAATATTTAAAACATTTCTCAGTGTCAGTGTTTAATACTGTAAACTTCAATAGATATAACCAACCCGACAAAAATTTTATGGGGTTCTAAATAATTTTTAAGAGCATGAGAGTCCTGAAACCAAAATGTTTGAGAATTGTTATTCTAGTCTGATAGACCAGCATCACTGTTAACAGTTGAGACCCAGTACAATTTCATGTTGGGTGCTAAGGATTTAAGGAAATGTGAAGCTGAATTCTTAACCTTAAAGAGGCTTATGAACAGGAGTAAAAATCTACTGTTACTACTATGCAATATCAGCAGCATGAGACTGAACCACTGTTTCCAAAAGACAGTTTTTAGTTAAAGTTTTATTAGAATGATATATTTTCTGAGACACCTCTCTGGAGGTTATTGTCTGGTGCTAAGATATTGAAATCGAGTAATAATTTCAGTTTAAAATAGGTGGACATTAAATTCACATAGGACTTAAATTTCTGGATTTTCCATTGATTAATGAAATATGATTATTTTTGGAATTTGAGTAAAACCTTTTTTATACTTTTAACAGTTCCAGCATTATCCAGTGGATTTGTGGACCATTATTGAATAATCCTCTAAAACAGTTTCTAAACCCAAGTTTCATGAACCCAAAAGGGCTGAAAATCCACTGCAGTTGTATTAAGTGTTTTGTGAATATTTGTTCTTGTGTATTTTTTTTTTAGGGAGAAAGGGTCCATAGCTTTCATCAAGGGTACATGATCCCTCAAAAAGGTTTAGGACACCTCAGGATAGTCAGACTTATGGGAGCTCAGGGCCCTCAGAGAGAGTGAGTTGTTCCCAGAGAACCCCAGGTGGAAACCTCCAGCCTCCTATAGGACCTAGCGGTGGAAGTCACTTCTGCCTTCTCTTGGTCAGGCAAATCACTAAGGCGAGCCCAAATTAAAGAGAAAAGCTTGCTTGCTTGCTTGCTTGCTTGCTTGCTTGCTTTCCTTATTTACTTACTGACTGACTTTTTTTTATTAAGCTATAGTTGACAGATAATAGTTTTAGTTGTACAATGATTTGATATGTGTATATATTGTGAAATGATCACAATAAGTCTAGTTAACATCCATCACACAGTTACAGAATTTTTTTTCTTGTGATAACTTTTAAGATCTACTCTTAGCAACTTTTAAAATACATATACAATACAGTATTATTAATTGTAGTCATCAAGAGAAAGGCATTTAGACTCCCTTTCTCAGTGGGAAGAATAACAAAGGATTTACAGTTATCTGTAATCTACCATATTAATTGTATTTTTCTGTCAAGATAGCATTGTTCCCCTTGGGTTTTTTTTTTTTCATCTCCCTGTTGATGTTTACTGATCTTATCGTTAGCTTGAGATAGGAGAATATGATGAACTGGGTGTTCATCATATATACATTGAGCATTTCATGCCCTAGAAAGGAATATGTTCTGTCTTCTTTCTGATAGATATATGAGGTGCTGCTAGTGGATGTCGCACACATATACTTTATAATAAAACATTAAAAAAAGTAACCTAAACAGTATTTCATAGAATATTGAAAACCGAATATGAATAACAGAGTACTCATGAAGATTAGTTGAGTAGTTCAAATTTCAAAACTATAAAGCAGTGGTACAATATGTCTTAACACATGTTAGCCTTCATAGCAGTTAGAGTGTTTCTGTTATAGTGTATTTACTTAAATGTCTTTCTCCATTAGACTGTTCACTTTTGAGTGTCAGGAGCCAGGCTTTATTCATTCTTTATTTCTGAGATATCTAACACAGTGACTTAGTAAGGTTTTGAAGGAATGAGTGGTCAGATTCATTCACTTAACAAGTCTTTGTTTAATGTCAGTATGTTCAAGGCACCACTAGAATTGGAAGGTTGCCTCAAAAACATGAAGCAGCAGGTATCTTCCTCCTCTTCATTTAAGTCCCATATGTTTTGTTATTGAGAAAGGGTTGGTTGTCATGGAGTGGTTTTCCTTTTCTAATGTTTTTTCATACCTCTTGATCTTGACTTTTATGAGCAATACTAACTTTTATCTCCAAGATCAGATCATTTGCTCTTTCAGAAAGTTGAGATTGTTATGGATAATTTTCTCTAAGCCTTGTTTAGTATCCCATTTTGGAATTTACTGAAATTGTCATTTATTCATTTATTTTTGGTAGATAATTCTGTGATAGTCTCCTTAGAAAAATCACGTGGATAAGTTTACACAGATCCATAATAGGACCTTAGTTTTACAGTTTACATTTTGGATATTCTTGCAACATGACTTAGGTTTATTTAAAAGTATGTCGTATTTGTTATACTTTTTTATTTTGACTATTCTTTTTGTATTCAATGCCTTTATTGAGCTAATGAGAATCTGAAAGAAAGACCTGAAGGAAGGAAGGGTGGAGTTCTGTTTATTGAACTTTCTGTTCTCAATATCTAGGGCCAGTTATTTTTAAGGTTCTACTGAAGATTAATGGATGTACAAAAAAAAGTGCACATAAATGTAGTTTGCTGAATTTTCACAAGCTGATCGCATCCATGCAGCCAGCACCCAGAGTAGCAACCACTCTCCTAGCTACTAATATATAGATTAGTTTTGCCTCATTTTTATACATTATAACATTATATAAGTGGAATCATACAGTATATACTCCCGTGTCTGGCTTCTTTTGCTCAGGATTGTTTGAAGAGTTGTATGTTGTAAAATCTCATTGCTATATTGCATTCCATTGTGTGACTGTACCACAATTTACTTATCCATTCTGTTTTTGATACACATTTGAGGTAGTTTTCTAGGACCTGTTTTTAACATAAACCGAATGATACTTATTTACAGCACCTTCCATGTCAGTTCGAATTGCTTTTGGACTGAGTAACAGAAAGGCTGATATATTAAGTTAAACAAATAGGTAATTTATTTTTCTTATGAAACAAGAAGTATAAACATAAGTAGTTCAGGGCGGGTAAGGCATTTCCACAGTGCCTTGAATACTCCTTTTTCCTCAGTCCTTAACAGATGTCTTCACTCTCCTGCTTTTCTTCTTGCAGTTACAAAGAGGTTACTTTGTATCTTTGTTACAGGCAGGAGAAAGGAAAAGAGCAAAGGGAAAAAGTAAGCCAAAAAGTGTAT